CCCGTTCCGGAGGAAGCAGAGGCGAAGGGAGCGGCCTAACGACGGCGCTGCTCGCTGGAGAACGAGCGCATGGGCAGCGAGGAGTACAGCGGGGCCTCTCCGGCGAGCCAGACACTTCCACTCGGGCCCGTCGCACTCCCACTCCCTCCGCACTCGCTCCTTAGGGCAAGACGCCAAAACCCGCCTCCTTCGCTCCGGGGGCGGTGGCGGCAGACGCAGGACGCTACGGAAAGCTGAGGTCAGAGTTCACGGAGGCCTTTCCACGCACGCTGTGGAGACGCTAGTTAAAGGGCAAGCCTGTTGGCTGAAGCCTGTGTCAGTCTTCGCGTGACCCGCCTTCCAGGAGGCATGACAACGACCGGAAGGGGCTGTTCTCGCGAGACTTGAAACCGACGGTTAAAGGACAGTGGGGAGAGTGGGACAAGCATGCTTTCATTCGAATATAACTTGACTATCTTTTTCCCTATATGAGAGTAAGAAAAAAAAGTTTACGACTTTTAAAGAGTATAAGGCCTGGGAGTAATGCCAATTAAGGGGTTATCCTAGTGACTAACAGAAGAATTATCAGAAGAAGCTTTCGTTTGGTATCGGACGCGTGGCCTACATTGCCTTAACCACGATGGTGTAATGTTGCCACGTGAAAACCACAAATCCCAGAATTCAGCCGGCATGTTACACTGGGCCAGAATGTGATTGGCTGAAGGAACTTGTAGCCTCCTCATTGGCTCCCGTAGGAGGAGTGAATGTGGGGATTTGTAGGCTGGCGGGGCCGCAGTGTGGAGAAAAACCTTTGGAGCCCGGCAGACTGGGTTTCTGCAGCAAGGTCGGATTTTCTCTTACAGCTGTTTTTTGCTGCTATGGGGTGTCTGCAGAGCTAGGCTGCTGCGCTCTGGGCAGGCGCATTGCGGATGAGTTGATGTTCCTGGCAGAGGCCTAGTAGCGACTTCCTACTACTAACCTGTGAGCGTGGTGGTGGTAGCCTCATCCTTTGAAGCCAGCTGAGCCCCTGCTCGGTACAGTAAGCGTGCACTGATGCAAGAAGGACCATAGTTAAGACTAATGAGCCGATGACTGATGAGTGTATTCGGGGCTTACTCGTTTTATTTAGAATAGCAAAACGATTACCCTCTGAAGTCAGCTTTTGTGGAATTGATAACCATACGGCTATTTTATTGTTCCCTAAAACATATACACAGAACAATCTTAGATTAGATAATCAAATCATTTATTTTAGTATTCATGTTTTTATTTGCTTCATTCGTATTGGAGCTAACCTGCCTTCCTTTAAAAGAAAAGGAAAAAAAAAAAAAGAGGTGGTTAGTAAGCCCAGTTAAGAAACGAGGAAAATTCAGTCTCATTCAGTCTCAATTTCTTACTGCTCCTGTATTGGGGGAGGGTAGGGGACGACACAATTTAAATAGCTCCTTTCTTTCAAGTATTTAGTCTTCACATTTTTTTCCTGTTTTTACCAAATGTTATTTAGTGCCCTGGAAAAGGCAGGCACAGTTATAGGCAATAACAATTAAAATAGATGAAACATGATCTGGCTTCAATTCATATTTAAATGTTCCCTCATTACTCTTGTTTACCCCTATGTATCCTTTTACTTTAATACTGCGTTTCTCCCCAGCAGTACCATATCTCTTCCATCATTTTACCCAAGTCAGCTATCATTAGGTTCCCTGAGTGCTTCAGCCACAGTTAATTCCTTTCTGCTCTGAACAACCTTTACACAATAGTCAATATAAACTGTAAACACACACACCACACACAAACAAGCCAGTCATTTATCTTGTGTGAACCCTACAGCCTAAAATCTCAATCATCTGGTCATAACCCTTTTTTTTTCCAGCTTGAATCCAATCAGATACCAAATCATATTCCTTTTGTGTGTATAAATCCTTTCATTTATCAATTTAGAACTGAACTGAATTTTCTAACTATATTTGTAGTTAGAGGAGTTTAAATATAAATCCTGAATACTACCACCTATTAGCTATCTTAGGCAATTCACTTTAAGCTCTCTGAGCCTGTGTTTCTCCATGGGTAACAGATGATTGTCAGTATTTCCCATAGGGCTGACTTAAGAGTTAAATGAGCTATTGTCTTGGTCTGCCAGGGTTACCATAACAAAATACCACAGATTGTGTGGCTTCAACAACAGAAATTTATATTCTCACAGTTCTGGAGGCTGAAAGTCCAAGGTCAATGTGCCAGCAAGGTCGGTTTCTCCTGAGGCCTTGGCTTGAAGATGCTACTTTCTGTGTCCTCACATAGCCTTTTCTCTGTGTACACAAACCCCTGGTACATCTTTCTCTTCTTATAAGGACACCAATCATACTATATTAGGGCCCCACCCTTTTAACCTTATTTAACCTTAATTGTGTCCTCATGTAACCTTAATTACCTCTTTAAAGGCGCTATCTCCAAATACTGTTATTTTGGAGGGTAGGGCTTCAACATATGAATTTGGGGGGGACACAATTCAGTCTATAACCAGATATCCCATATAAAGTGGTCGGCATATGGCCTGGAACATAATACTGATTATAAGTAATGTTATCAAACCAAAGTTGGGTCCACTTGCCCACATACAGTAAAGCCAATCTACTGACACCAGGTTTTGGTTCCAATATAAGGAGAATAGGTGACTCGTGCTCAAAACCCCAAACTCCCTGAAGGGTTTCAGGAAAGCATTTTTAAAGGCCAGGTGGAGGGGTCCCAGGGTACCTGATCAGCTCATGCACAATTCTCTGATTGGTTGATGGTGAGGTAACAGGGTGATGTCACAGGGGTTAACATTATCAATCCTCAGTGTCCAGCAGATCTGGCGGCTACATGTTAGTGATCATCAGTTAGTTAATTTCTTCCATTGGCAGGGGTTTTAGCATCTGAAAAACAACTATAGAAATGTGTATCAGATACAATTATCTAGGTACTTAAGAGAGGAGCTAAAGCAGAGGATATGGGGAAGGGGTCTGTCCCAGGAAGGCCCACAGGGTCCTGCTCGGTTATACTAATATTTCTTGCACACTCACAAAGGTCATGGAAAGCATCTAATAAAAGTTGGCTATTATTATTATGACTGTATTTCCTCAGGCTTACTTGTCCCTCTCCCAAACCATCCTACATAGCCAGTTTACAGTTTTCCAAAACACTGTTTTTATCATGCTACTCACCAGTTTAAAAAGCTCAGTGGGTCTCTGCTACTGAATAAAGTTCAGATGTTTGCAATCAATCAGTGACTTCCTTTATCTGTCCCTAATCCTTTCTTTCTGGTCTTTCTCCCAGTTACAGGAATTGCTTCCATCAGTTTTTTTGAGTCCCTCAAAGACCCAACTCCAAGTTTTTATACATCATCACTCTCATCATCATAATCAGCACTTACTTATAGGTCAGGTGCTGCGTTAACTCATTTAATCTACCTTTTAAGTAAAAGGGGCATGGAGAGAGGTTAAGTAACTCACCTAAGGTCACCAGTAAGGAAGGGGCAGTCAGGATTAAAGCCCAGACAGTGTTGCTTCAGAGCTCATACTCCAAACCTCGCTATTGGAATGCCTCTCACCTCCCCTACCTCCCTTTCTCAGGTCTTGAACCAATCATAGTTGTTTATCTGCTAGCCTCCAACTTCAGTGTAAGTTCCTTAAGGGCTTATACCAACTTAAAACCACTTCTGCTTCTTTCAGTTACTCAGCCTGTGTTAATTTTGTAACAGGCACTCAATAGTGCTTAATTTTATTTTGTATTCTTGACCACTTAGAGATTTGATTTGTGTTATCATTAAATATAGCTTGTTACCAAACAATGGGAAAATGCTTTATGTTAAGGATCTGTAAATGCTAAATTAATGGTAAGTACAAAAGGAAATAAATTTAGATAAGACTATCCTCTAAGGATTTTCTTTCTAGTCAATGATTATAATGGAAAACTGAGACAAGAAATTTGATAAAAGTAAACAAGTAGAGTCTTTCAAGCTGTTGGGAAGTTCTTCAAATATCAACCAGTGGTTTAGCTTAATTCACATTTATTGAGTGTCTACCCTGTGTGAGGCACACCATGGGAAGAAAGGATTCTAAGAGAAATGTGGTTATTAGGTGGCAGAGAGTGCTGGGTGCTGGGTTTTTCCTCCCCTTCCAACTTCAAAAAACAAAAACAAACAACCTACCCCACCTCCACCATTCAGAGGAAATGAGAATCCCTGTAGGAAAAGAAGGGCCTGGAAAGCTCTGAGATTTGCCCAAGATGTTATTCAGGGTGAAGGAAAATATTTGACAGAGTATGTTTGAAAGCAGTGATTGAAAAACAAGGAAGAAACGTTTCACATTGGTACCCCCCCTCCCCGACTTCAGATCATTCATGCCTCAGTTGGCCATCTACTGATCTGTGCCCATTTGAGGAGGGAAGAAGAGAAATGGAGGATAGAGAAGGGTATTGCATTGAGGCAGCTGCACTCCCTCCTATTTTTAAAGAGACCCACCAAGAGGGGCCAGGCACCCCTTTCAGAAGTAACTTTGTTACCGTCATCCTACAACTCCCTCCATTTAGTATGGCCAGGATGCATGAGTCTTCAGCAGGCAAAGTAGACAACTCCCTCTGAAGTACCCTGAGTTTGAATGCTCGCTGTCGCTCACTCTCTCTCTCCCTCCCTCTGCCATGTGAAGACACAGAACGATGGCAGCCATCTGCAAGCCAAGAAGAGAGTTCTATCACATTTTGTAACAGCAGCAAAGCTGACTAATACAAGTATGCAGCTACCTGACACATACAAGCATAGAATTTTTTAAGGTCCTACTTAGTACTATCTCAGGGGATGAGAGTACCATGAAACATAATTGGGAAATCATTTTTCTATTAGTAATTTTTTTTTCATGAATTGAATGCTGAACAGGTGACAGGGAGGAGTGTCTTGGTGGAAAATAAGTTTGACATTCATTTTAGTACAGCTTTTATGCCACGTAAATGTGAACTCTGCTTACTTCATATATTTGCTGTAAATTGAGTTAAAGGAAATAAAGAAAATGGAGCTATTTATTCAACTGGGTTATTAATTTCTGAAATGTAATTTTTTTGTTGAATGTCAAAGCTGATATGTTAATAAAGAAAGAAAGGGCAGTTCTGATTTGTGTTTCAGTGTAGACAGCTTTGCATACAAATAAACAGACACAAAATGCTTCTTGTTACAGATCACTTGTCAATACTGAATTCAACTCAGATGCAAAGGACGTAAATGCTATATAAGACTAATCTTAAGAAGATTTATTTCCATTTGGCTGAAACAACCCAACAGCTAGAGATTTTCCTATAATCTACTCTCTTCTAAACAACTGCTGGAAGATCTTGGTTAATTTGTAGTGACACTCTAAATCAAATTTAATTGTTATTCTATGAAGGAATTATTCTTTTAGAGTTAGAAATACATTTGCATCATATTAAAGAAAATTATAAAGATTATTTAAGTCACAAAGTTGCTTCCTTTGGAATATCTTCCATTTTACTCTTATTTTTGACTTTTATAACATTGTTAACCATCATCTGGCATTTTAAAATCATAACATTTTCTGATACGAATTTATAAAATCACTGTCCAGGGTTTTCAGACAACTAAAAATATAACTTTATAAATGTAAAGCTGGTTATCAGTTTTGGCAGGAGGATGCAGAAGAAAGGGCTAGAATTCAGCAAATGCTTCATTTTGCTTTAAATGCAGATATTTGCTGATGATGACCTGTCCCGTTGCTTGAAAAGATATTCTGCCTACTACCGGGTGAAAGTTTTGACTCTGAGGGGGAAAGGTGTGAAAGAGTAATTAAAGAGAAATCAGGA